GGATCACCCCATCCCATGATCCTGGCACAGGAAACCTGGATCAGCCCTGGATCAGCCCATCCCAGGAGCCTGGCACAGGGAACCTGGATCAGCCCATCCCAGGATCCTGGAACAGGGAACGTGGATTACTCCATCCCAGGATTCTGGCACAGGAACCTGGATCACTCCATTCCAGAAACCTGGCACAGGAAACTTGGATCATCCCTGCATCAGCCCATCCCCGGATCCTGGTACAGGGAACCTGCCCAGGTGTCCCATGGGCTGGGACACCTTCCACTATGTTTTCCTGGCACTTTTAACCCCCAAATCAGGTTCTCCCGGATATTTCCGGCACTTCCAACCCCACTTGGACGATTCCCTGGCGTTGGAAGCGCTGACTCCAGCAGCTCTTTCCCAGAGTTCCGCAGGCACTCACCAGTCCGGTTTCCTGGGAGCCAGGTTTGCCAGATCCTACGGACGAAGAGGAGACATCCAGTGAGAGGGGAAAGGCAGGGATAGAGCCTGGATACAGGGATGCAGCCGGCAGGGAATTCTCGGGATTTACCTACCACCTCATCGATGATGGGCTCGGGCTTGGCAGCTTCCAGCTGCTCCTTCACCGTGTCCTCCACTAGAGGGAGAAACAGGATCAGCGTCGGGACACCGGGAATCGATCCCAGCAGAGCGCCGGGATCGGCTCCCGAAAGCTTTGGGAAAACCCCGTTCCCACATTTCTGCCTTTAAAAACACGTGAGGGCAGGTGGGGACGGCGTCCCTCCGCCACCCAAACCCTGGGGAGACTCCTAAAAATCCCCCGGGAATGATGCAACAGCACCAACAGCGTCGGCAGCAAAGAGCCTGAGGGGTCTGAGGCCTCTTCCCGGAATCCCTGCAGGGATCAGCTGCTCCAGGGCTCTGGAATTGGACTCCTCCTGACTCGTGCACAGGGTCTGAGACAGTTTGGAGGAGCCCAGCCCTGCGGAAAGGTCTGGAGATCTCAGGGATAATGGGAAAAGGTGTGGAAAACAGCTCCCTGTCCTTCAGCTGATTAAGGACAAGGGGGGCAGCTCCAGGAGCACATCCCTGAGGGGTCAATCCCACTCCAGAGAAGCTTGGAATCACTGAGGTTGGAAAAGCCCTCTGGGATCAGCCAACCATTCCCAGCACTGCCAAGGCCACACTGCCCATGTCCCCAAGTGCCACATCCACAGGGCTTGGAAATCCATCCAGGAATGGGGACTCCAGGAGGAATTTTCCTGATGTCCAACCTGAGCCTCCCCTGGCACAGCCTGAGGCTGTTCCCTCTCCTCCTGTCCCTTGTTCCCTGGGAGCAGAGCCTGACACCCCCACCAGCTCCAACCTCCTTCCTGGGAATTCCAGGGATCCAGAAGGTCCCCCCTGAGCCTCCTTTTCTCCAGGCTGAGCCCCCCCAGCTCCTCCTGCTGCTCCAGCCCCTTCCCACCTCCATTCCCAGCTCCCTTCCCTTCCCTTCACACACTCCAGCCCCTCCATGCCCTTCTTGTGACATTCAGAGGAAGTTGGAAGCTTTTCCAAAGGGAGGAGGAAAATGCAGTGCCAGCATTCCCACCCACCCACCCCAGCTCGGAGCTTCCAAAGGCACCTTTTGATTCCGGGCATTTTTAAAGGGATCTATTCCAGGAGGACTCCACACGTTCCAAGATCAAGGGAAACTTTTCTACCCTTCACTTCCCCTTCTGGAAGCACGTGGAGGTTTCAGAGCCGGGAAATCCCAGCCTGGACGCCCTGGACTAATATTTGTTTAAGGATAAGTCCAACAAAAACCAGCCGGAATCTCCTTGAGGATCCTGCAGGAGGGGCTGGAATGGTTGGAATTGCTCTTCCCCCCCCCTCCAGTTGTGCAATGCAGGGTGTGAGGATGATGATGATGCAATGAGGGGGCTCAGACATTCCAACCCCCTCCAGGGCTCCAAGGACCTCCCACCAGGACACAGCCCAGTGGATCTTCCACCCTGGAATGAGAGGAGCAGGGAGTTTTCCAAGCCTTTGCTCCCGTTTGTTCCCACCTGAGGCCGGTTTTCCCGGGGGCAGCTTCCTCTTCTTCAGCTCCTCATCCTCGGGCTCGTAATTCCGCAGTTTGATCTCCCTGGGGGAAAACAGGGAAGAGCACAAAGAGGTGAAATCTCCCCGGGAAAAACAGGGAAGAGCCCAGAGTGGTGAGACACATCTGGGATGTCCTGGATTGTGGGAGCGAGGGGGAAAATTGGCACCAGGAGCCACAGAGGCAGCTAAAATCATGGAATCATGGAATCATTTAGCTTGGAAAAGCCTCTAATATCATCAAACCCAGCAGTGCTGAGGCCACCACTACTCCATGTCCCCAAGTGCCACATCCACAGGGATTTGAAATCCCTCCAAGAATGGGGACTCCTGCCTTGGGCAGCTGAGATAAATTATGGAATAATAGAATGGATGGGATCTTAAGGATCATCCCATTCCACCCCCTGCCATGGGCAGAGACACCTTCCACTAGCCCAGGTTGCTCCAACCTGGCCTTGGACACTTCCAGAGATCCAGGGGCAGCCACAGCTTCTCTGGGAAATCCAGTCCAGGCCCTCCCCTCCCTCAGATCCAAGAATTCCTACCCAATATCCCATCTAAACTTATCCTCTTTCAGCTTGAAGCCATTCCCTGTGTCCTGTCCCTCCATCCCTTGTCCCCAGTCCCTCTCCAGCTCTCCTGGAGCCCCTTCAGGCCCTGCAAGGGGCTCTCAGCTCTCCCTGGATCCTTCTCTTCTCCAGGGGAACCCCCCCAGCTCTCCCAGCCTGGCTCCAGAGCAGAGGGGCTCCAGCCCTGGGAACATCTCTGGGGCCTCCTCTGGACTCTCTCCAGCAGCTCCACGTCCTGCCCGTGCCGAGGATCCCACGGCTGCACGTTGTGCTCCAGGTGGGATCTCAGCACATCCCTAAAGCCAAGGACATGAGGACGTTCCTCCTTCCCTGAGGAATTTGAAGGGTTAAAAACATGGATATTTAAAAACTGCTCATTTTCCCAGCAATGGGTTAAAGAAAATCCCGGTGCCAGCAGCTCCTCCTGTGCCACATTCCAGAGACATCCCAGGGCACTTTCCTCCCTGTCAATTATCCACATTCCCAGGAAAATGAAAACAAAACAACCCACGGCTTCCAAGAGGCCTCAAGGCAGAACCCAGGAGCCAGCTGAGGGATTGCAGCTCCCAGGGGTGGAGGACACATCCCATGGGAAAGGACAGCACCCAGCTAGGAGCTGGGATTGATCCATTTGGGATCAGCCTCCTGCAGGGCCAAAGGATTGATCCATCTGGGATCAGCCTCCTGCAGGGCCACTCACAGGTTTTATGGGCATCTCCTTAAAACTGATGGATGTGCCCAAATCCAGGAGATCTCCTGCTCCTTGAGCACCTCGTGCCACGTTTGCCATCCCAATCCAGCCAGGAACACCATGGATGGAGGTGGCTACAGCTGGATACAGGGCTGGCAGCTCCAGGGAGCACACGAGGATTTTGGGAGCTGCAGCATTCCAGAGGGAGCTGCAGCATTCCAGAGGGAAGCACAGACACACACAGGGGGTCCCACATTCCCTGCTCTGGGTCAGGAATGCCTCCAATCCACTTTTCTCTCCGGGCTGGAGCTCCTGGCTGGGGAATGAGGAGGGAGAGCAGCTCCTTTGGGAGGAGGAGGGTGGGCAGTGGCACGTTGGGAATGTGTGGAATGCCCGGAGTTATCTTGAAGCAAACCAGGCCCCTCAGAGCTCCCAGGTTGTTTTTGCTCCACTGCTCCAGTCCCAAGAGCAAACACTGTTCCAGTGGATTTTTCCAAGTGATATCCTTCCCTCAGGAGCACCAGGAATGGCTTTGCCAGGAAACCCCATAACAGGGATTTCTTCAGTGCTGCACGTTCCCCGTTCCCATATTTCCTCCCAAAACAGCCACTTGGAGCTGCTTCAGGAGCAGCTTCCCAGTTTCCCTCCCTGAGGACAAGGCTTGTCCCTCCAGGAAAACTGGACTGAGATCCCAGAATCCCACAGTGGTCTGGGTGGGAAGAGGCCTTAAAGACCATCCAGTTCAGGGACACCTTCCACTATCCCACATTGCTCCAACCTGGCCTTGGACACTTCCAGGGATCCAGGGGCAGCCACAGCTTCTCTGGGAATTCCATTCCATCCCTCACCACCCTCCCAGCCAGGAATTCCTTCCCAATATTCCAGCTAAATTTACTCTCTTTCAGCTTTAAGCCATTCCCTGTGTCCTGTCCCTCCATCCCTTGTTCCCAGTCCCTCTCCAGCTCTCCTGGAGCCCCTTTAGGTCCTGGAAGGGGCTCTGGAGTCTCCCTGGAGCCTTCTCTTCTCCAGGTGGGCTCAGGCACCTCAATCCCTGTTTTCCTCCTCTAGCACCAAGGAAAAGGTGCCCCCTCCTCCTCCTCCTCCTCCTGCTGCTGCCCATGGAAGGGACACCCTCTGGATCATCCTTGGAGCCATAAACCACCTCCTACGTTTAATCCTCATTTTTTTTTAATCCTTTTTATTCCTTTAAAACCCCGCCTCGAGGTCTCCACGCTCCGGGATTTCGGGAAGAAGCATTTCGGGAAGCACAATCCCACCGAGCCCCCCCGGCTCGGAGCAGAGGAGGCACCCAGGAGTTGTTGGGGTTTTTTTTGTGCAACAAAAGGTTACAACAAAAGGGAAAAAAAAGCGGTCGGGACCTGCCCGGTGACATTCCTGAGCGGGGGATCGCCTTTCCCAAGCCCGGCTCCTCCCAGAAATCCACCTCCGGGAGCGGCACGGCCTTTTTAAGGATGCTTTTTGAGGATGACTCAGTGTCCAGCAGCTGATTCACTCGCGGAGTTGAAGAGTTGAAGGTTATTTTTGTTCCCCCTTTCCCTTTCCAAGCCCTTTCCTTGGATTTTTAGCTCCGCTTTTTAACGAGCTGCGCTCGCACAACCACCCCGATCTCAACCTGCTCCCTGGAGAGGGGGGCTGACAATTCCAAACTCCAGATCCAGATCCCCGTGTCCCAAACGGGCTGTTTTTTCCCGGTGGGAATGAGGCGGAAAGGCCGAAGTCCACCCCCACCCCGTCCCTCCCAAAGGCGCATCCGGGGCTGGTCCGGGATTAAACGCGAGCGGTTCAAAAAAATCAAAGGAATCCGCGATAATCCCGAGTTTCAAAGAGAAATCCCCCCCCGGGAAAGTGGGAGAAGGGGATCAGCCGAGCCGGAATTCCCGGGAGAGGAGCGGGGTTGGCACAAAGGGATTTGCCGGCGCCTGTTCCTGCCCCGGGAGTTCGGGAAGAGATAAAAAACAACAAAAAGACACCAAAAAAAAAGGGCGGGGGGGGGAATGGGAGGTTTGAGAGGAGCAAAAACGAAAGAGGAAGCGGCCGAGAAAGGTTTGGGAATGTGGGAGGGTGGGAATGGTGGAGCCGGAGCCGAGAGGGTTTGTCCTTCCTCTGGACAGAGAGCAGGGAATCCCCATCCCTGGAAGCGTCCAAGGCCGGGATAGAGCAACCTGGGATCGTGGAAGGTGGGATGAGATGATCCTTAAGGTCCCTTCCAGCCCAGTTCATCCTGGGATTCTCCAAAGGGTGGAAAGGACGGGGTGGGATGGAGGAGGAACCATCCCGAAAACCCCAGGATCTGTTCCCTCCTCAGCCACAGGATCATTCCCTGACCCACCACAATTCCCAGGAGAGCTCGGGGTGGTTTCCCCCTGGAGGTGCAGGTTTTCCCCCTTGGTTTGCTGGGAAGGCAGAATTCCACTCCCAGGAATTTCCCAAAAATCCAGCGGATTATCCCAGTTCACCTCTTCCATTTGTGCCCAGCACTTCCCTTTTCCAAAGGGCTCCCAGGCTTCAGCCACATTCTTGGGAAAACAAAATCCAAGAGGAAATGGAGTTATGGGCTCTTCTTGATCCTGGGAAAACCTCCCTTCAGATTCCAGGGGGGAAAAGGGACATTTACCAAGGAAAGGAGAAGCAAATCCAAAGCTAAGATTTGGGATTCAAACATTCCCTGCGGAGCAGAGCTCGCCCTCATTTGCCTTGCAAAGCTCCCTCTGCATCCCAACAAAACAGGCTGGGGCTGGAAAAGTGGGAAAAGGGGAAAATCCATGGGGAAAGCAAAGGTTTCACCCCAAAAGCTGCCTCTCCAAAAGCTTCCATGGATTTGAGGATAAAGGGGAAAAATCCATGTGGAAAACAAAGTTTTCTCCTCAAAAGCTGCCTCCACAAAGGGATCCATGGATTTGTGGATAAAGGGGAAAATCCATGTGGAAAGCAAACTTTTCATCTCAAAAGCTGCCTCTTCAGAGGGATCCATGAATTTGAGGACAAATGGGAAAAATCCATGTGGAAAACAAAGGTTTCACCCCAAAAGCTGCCTCTTCACAGGTTTCTGTGGATTTGAGGATAAATGGGAAAAATCCATGTGGAAAACCAAGTTTTCACCACAAAAGCTGCCTCCACAAAGGGATCCATGGATTTGTGGACAAAGGGGACAATCTATGCAGAAAATCCATGTGGAAAATCCATGTGGAAAACAAAGTTTTCATCCCAAAAGCTGTGTCCCCAAAGGGATCCATGGATTTGAGGACAAAGGGGAAAATCCATGTGGAAAACAAAGTTTTCTCCCCAAAAGCTGCCTCCACAAAGGGATCCATGGATTTCTGGATAAAGGGGAAAAATCCATGTGGAAAACAAAATTTTCACCACAAAAGCTGCCTCCACAAAGAGATCCATGGATTTCTGGATAAAGGGAACAATCTATGTGGAAAATCCATGTGGAAAACAAAGTTTTCTCCTCAAAAGCTGCCTCTCCAAAGGTTTCCATGGATTTGAGGACAAAGGGGAAAATCCATGTGGAAAATCCATGTGGAGAGCAAACTTTTCATCCCAAAAGCTGCCTCTCCAAAGGGATCTATGGATTTGAGGACAAAGCTGGCTGAAGATGTAATTTCCTCCTCAAACCCTCCTCAACTCCTGTGGAATTCCAAGGATTCCCAGGCAGGGGAAGGATTTTGGCTGAATCCGCCATGGGATGAACAAAAACTCCTGGAAAAAGGGATTTCCCACCTTGGTGGGATGGACTTGGGTGATGTGGAACCTCTGGAATGAAACCCAGCACTTCCAAGCTGGTTAAAAAGCAGGAATTCCCAGCTAAAAAAAATCAGTTGGAGTCCAAAAAACAGGGGTTTTTTTTTCCAATTTAGAGGATCAACTCGGAATTCCAGGGTGGGATGAGCAGCCCAGGGATGGGAAGCACCAGCCAGGGGGATGCTCTGGCTCCGGCAGCTCTGGGATCAGGTGGCAGGGCTGGAATTCGAGAGCAGCTTATCCATTATTCATCCCATTCCCAGGATCTCCAGCTCCTGTTTCAGACCTCCCGTGGCTCTTCCGGCCCCGGATCCGATCACCCGGAAAATTCCCTCCCAGGGATCTCAGGGATGGTTCTCCAGGGGGAGTTCCAGCCCCAAATCCATGGGGGCTGTTCCCTAAATCCATGGGGATTGTTTCCCCACAAGGGATATGTTTTCTGCAAGGAAAATCCTCCCAAGAATTCCCAAATATTCCCGAGGAACAGCAAGGGTTTGCTCTGACTCGGTCATTCCCAGCAGCCGAGCTCCCCCAGAGGAGATTTTTAGGGATAAAGGATGGGAAAAGGTCACATCCCACATTTTCAAACGCAGTTTGACCTCCTTGGGGCTCCCAAAATTCCCAGAGGGAGTTTTTAGGGCAGGAAAAACGGCTCCAGAGGCAGCTGCTCCTGCCGGGAGTGACCCCCTGGCTCAGCTGGATTTGTGCTCCCATTTTCCAGGGACAAAGGAAAAAATGGAAAAGAAAAAAAATCTGCCCTTAAAACACCCCAAAAACAGGGACAGAGGTGCAGGAATGGCTGGGAAATCCAGGGAAATCCTGGGAAACCCAGGGAAATCCCAACATCTCCGATGGCACCGGAAACGCTGCCACTCAACCCCAGGTTTTCCCTCTTTATTCCCGGAGTTTTTAAGGTTGGAAAAGCCCTCCGAGATCATGGAATCCAACCATCCCCCTCCTCGGACTATTTGCACCGGGAATTTCGATTAAAAACTAAATTAAACTGCACAGGAGGGGAAATCCTCATTAAAAAAAAACATATCCCAGGGAGAGAAAAGTGGGAATAAATCCATCCTTACCTGTGCTTGACGGGCTCCTCGTCCTCCTCCTGCCTGGGAATTTTGTTCTCACGTTCACCACCGTCCTTGTTCTGGAAAAAAACAGGCGGATCCGTCGGGATTTGGCCTCTCTGGGAATGAGGGAGAGCAAAAAAACAGCCCCCAAATCCTCAGGGATGGGATGTTTTGTTGTGGGATGAAGGGAATGATGGAAGATAAAATGGATAATAAAGGTTTGGGAAGGGAGAAAGTGCAAAAAATCCGGGAATCCACACCATTTTTTCCCCTAATTTATCATCTTGGATGTTTAAACAAGTTGGAAAACATGGAAACAAAGAGGGATCAGCACAACAAAGGGAGGGATTTCAGCTCCAGAAACACCATCAATCCAATTCCTCTTGGGAAGAGGCTCATTTTGCATCCCTGGATCCTGGGACAAAGAGCTAATTAGTGGAATTCCCAATGATATTTGTTATCCAGGCAGGCACAGATCTGGAATGTTCCCAACAAGGAGCTGGGAAGGGATTTGTTTGGTTTTCCCACTGATTCCATAATTCCAAGCACCAAACAAAGGCTTTTCCACCCCCATCCTGCTCTGGAGAGAACATTGTTACAGCAAAGGGAACGATGGAACCAATTCCTTGGAATCCTGATGGAATTGTCCTCCAAATAACAAGGAATATGTGGCAGCAGATTAAGTCATGGAATTCCAGCCTGGGCTGGGTTGGAAAAGACCTTAAGGATCATTCCATGGGCAGGGACACCTCTCATTATCCCAGGTTGCTCCAGCCTGGCCTTGGACACTTCCAGGGATCCAGGGGCAGCCACAGCTTCTCTGGGAAATCCATTCCAGTCCCTGTCCACCCTCCCAGCCAGGAATTCCTTCCCAATATCCCAGCTAAATTTATCCTCTTCCAGCTTAAAACCATTCCCTGTGTCCTGTCCCTCCATCCCTTGTCCAAGCCCCTCTCTCGGAGCCAGCTCCAGGATCCCAACATTATTTCCGGCTAAACCCAATCCCAAACCCCTCCAAGAACCAGGAATGTTTCCCAACCACCAGCTGACTCATCCCTGGATCCCGACTGCACAAACTTCCAAGCTCTGGGTTAAAAATTAGATCCCAAGCAAACAGGGAAAGGAGCCAGGAGCCAGGTCTGGAATTGTTCAGGTTCAGCTCCCGCTCAAAGGGCAACAGGAACATTCCCAGCTTTTGAAAAAGAGGGAAAAAGAGCAGGAATCATCCCTAAATTTGCAATTTGAGTTGGATTTTCAACTCCATGTTAACCTTGGGATATTCACACACACATTCCCGGCCCAATAAATGTTCCATCAATTCCATAAACAACCGGGAAGAACCTCTGGAACTATGAGGAATATTTAGACACCTTTCCATGGGATTTAATTGTGGGAAGTCCCTTCCTGCACTCCAAGTCCTTTCTCATTCCTTTCACCTCTTCCTCCTTTAAGTGCCTGCATTCCCCTCGTTCCTGCTGGAATTTTATCCAGGAGGGTTTGAAGATAAGGAGAGATTTGGCCCCTGGAGCTGTTCCCTCCCTCCACGGGCAGAGATTCCCTGGATTCTGAAATAACTGGATATTAAATCCCCCCCAACTTGCCCAAAACCCCCAATTCCAACTGATTCCACCCCCATCTTCCCTAAAGTCTTGGGGATATTCCTGGAAAAACCCAGGACATTGGCCCATGTTGCCCGGAGAGGTCGTGGAATGCCCATCCCTGCGGGATCAGGACATGGCCTGGGCTCCTTCCCACTGGGAATGTGGGATTTGGAGCTTGTCTGTGCAGAGCCAGGAGTTGGAGTCGCTGATCCCTGTGGATCCATCCCAGCTCATTCCCAGGGAGTTGATCCCTCTCCCACCAGCCCCCGCATTCCAAGCGGGTTTTATTCCCCTCCTGAAGAACGATGGGATTTCCCGGAGCTCCCACTGGATTCCACGTTCTCCCACTTCCCAGACTCCAGGTATCCCGAGGCAGGAGGGAAGCCTGGAGAACCAGCAGGCGGGAATGTGGCTTGTGGAAGGATTCCTAGGATCCCTCCGGGTGCTTTGCCTATGGAATTCTATCCCATCCCACTGATTTTCCCAGCAGGAAAGCCGAATCTCCGACCCAGCAGGTGCTTTCCCAGCTCTTGGTTCCCTGGGAAATGGAACATTTTAAGGAATATGGAGCTTTCCCTTGGGCTCCAGGACGTTATCAGGCTTTTTCCACGCTGGCAGGAGCATTCCAGGGAAATCAGGGAAGAAACTCTTTGATTGCATCCGTGAAGGCCAAGGGGGGGGTTAAATCCCTGGGATCTGGGAATTCCCAGACAATCCCCATCCAAGGAAAGCATCTTTTCCAAGAAAAGGGCAAGGACACAACCTTATCCTGAAGGAACAGCCGCAGGATCCATAATTTTCCTTCACCTCTTCACTTCCAACCCACCCGATTCCGGAACTCATTCCCAGGTTTTGCTTCCTGCCATCCCTCACTTCCCAAGAGTTTGAAATCCCTCAGGGATTGGGACTCACAGCCCCTTTCCAGGTGGGAATTTTCCCTAAATCCAACCTAAATCTCCCCTGGGGCAACTTGAGGCCTTTTCCTTTCGTCCCATCCCTTGTTCCCTGGGAGAAGGGCCTGATTCCCACCCGGATCCGACACCCTGGCAGGGAATTGTGCAATTCCAGAACATCCCACCTTCCCCTAAACCAAATTCCCATGACAACAACGACGCTCCCTTTGCCTCCCTTGAAAATCCGGGAATGCCAGAGCAGGTTTTCCACCATTCCCAACCCCCTGGATTCGCCAACGGCGCCGTTCCATCCTCTCTCTTCCCAGCCCTTGGAATTCCTCCAGCCTTCTGGAAAGCTTTCAATCAGCCCCCAGCGGTGCCACAACCTCTCCAGTTGATTATTTTGGGATTTCTGGGAGCTGGAATCATCCCCAGCTGCTGCTTGGAAGTGTTTTTGCTGGATGGCTCCCGGTCTCCGGAGCTCCGGGAAGCGGCTCCTCATTCCCACGGGAGCGGCACTTCAGCCCTTCCCAAACATAAAATCGGGGATTATTTGTTTCTTTCCTCCCCTTTTTCTCTCCTTTGAAATATTTCTCCCTTTAATCGGGGTTTTGGCCTTTTCCCAAAATTCTAAGAAGCAAAATTTCCACGTCCTGACGTCGGAATAAACATTCCGGCTCCTCTTCCCATTCCTGCCGGGTCTCTTCCCAATCCCTGAGGCTCCTCCACGGTAAATCCAACCCAGGCACATCCAACCAATCCCTGACAATCCCTAAAATGACCCCCAGCTTCCCCTTTTCCCTGGAAACTGCTCGTTTTCCTTGGGGATCAAGCAGAATTCCCAAGATCTCCTTCTCTTTCCTTTAAGGATTCCAGGACTGTCCCATTCCCAGCCAAATGTTTCCAAGGAATTGTCTCTTTTGGAGGAGTTAAAGGAGGTTAGTGCTGGAAAAAAGCTGGATTTCTCCAGGTGTTTGCTGCCAGCTGAGCTGGAGCTGCTCCTATTCCCTATTTTCTGGCTGCTGGGATCCAGCTCCGGGAAGCCTGGGAAAGGGTTCAAATCCCAAAAAACACATCCCAGCCTCATCTCTCTGGGAACTGGGAAGCTCCAGGTGCCACAGTGGGATTTCCTCATGGATAACATCATCCAGGGAATGAGCATCCACCTTGTTTGGGGTTAAATCCCCATTTTCCTTGGAATTTCTTTGGATTGAAGGAGACGTGGAGGTGAGCTCAGCTCCCAGGGATATTCCTTCATCCCATCCTCTT